GCGGCTAAGGTGCTTGGAGCAGCAGGAAAAGCAGGTTAAGCTTTTTAGGGGGAAAGAGTAATGCAAGAGTCTCTCTCAAGAGACAGAGATAGAGGTGAGGGCACTGCAAATGAGAAAAGATCATTATTCTGGGAGCGCAAAACACCATCATACTGTGTATATATATAAATTATGTAAATCCAATTTAGTGTTTAAATTGAGGTTTGATTCCATCATTAAGTCCGTTTAAAATTTTCACTATCATGAAAAAAGATTTTGATCTAACAGATGATGATGGCCATGGATTAAAGTGATATGCAAATTAGTAAATTGTTAGATTAATGAATTGCTGTAGTGAATGAGGAAACTACCTTGGACAGTAAGTGCAGGGAAAAATGTAATAATGTATAATAGGAAAAAGTGATGCTGTTTTAGTGAATTTTAATTAATCTTAATATAGATTCCAGATTAAATAACCACCACCCCCAAAACAGGTAAAGTACTTTGCCTTAGGAAATTTATTCTTGGGTGGAATTAGCATTTTAGGTAAAGTTATGATATGATCATACATATAACTTTTCCTTGGTGGAAAATACTGGTAATAAAAGTGTCGGATTTATATTGAAAAATTAAAGATTGCATCCTTGCAAGAATATACCTTATTCAAAGCAGCGCCATGACAGGTTAGAAAGCAAGGCTGTGAGGGATAAGCTTACCCGTGTTTTCAATGACATCTGTATAAAAAGCTTTAATTCCACATAATTTTCCACAGGAGTTTTTTTGTCTACTGAAGTTTCTTGGAAAGATATCTTTACATTGTTTCATCAGCAGAACAATCCAAAAATCCAGTACGATCCACTAAAGAGATATATGTCTTTCTCTGGCTCGCTTTCAGTCAGGTTAAAAATCCAAGATGGCACTGCTGTGAATAAGGTCTAAGAACAACCAGCAATCACTCTTTCCACAGGTTACGTTATGCCAGTATAGCGTCAAGTGACTTGTCAGTATGAGTGACTTATTCGAACCATTCATTGAATCGATTGGTTCAAAAACACTGAAGAACGGTCTTTGTGAATGAGTCATTGAATCATTTACTCAATCCATTTAAAAAAAAAACTGAATTATTCAGGAACAGTACACCATTACTGAACTAGTTTTGTTGCTAGTTCTAAAGTGACGTTTTTGAATTGGAGAATCTTTTTAAGCAAAGGCAGGTCCTGAAATTTTTTTAGGAAATTTGTTTTGAGGAAATCCCTTTTCCTTACTTATTGATATGTTTATGATATAACCGTCAAGAGACTGGTTCTGACTGGTAGGCACACCATGAATAAAACAGTAATGACATTTCAGCAACAATCTTTCCTTTTGTTAATGGAAATTTAATGTTTGTTTCTTTCAGAATGACTGAACAATGAGAAAAAAAGTATGATTCATATATGCCATTGTTAAAAATGACCATGTATGACCTAACATCAGAAAAACAGTTTTAACACAAAATCTCCATTAATCTCCACCGCCCATGGATCATACACCACTGAACACCCTCAGATCTTATATTCAGTACACTTATCTTCCGTGAAGTCATTACGGTTCTTGTTCTTGTAGCGTTAGGGCTGATATGGCTTTTGTAATGACTCTCTTTCAATTAAACAAAGCACAAGAGCAGTGGGCTGAAAAAGTGATTGCTCCCACTTAAAAGCGATTTGCTTGGCATACATCATTATTAGTGGTCCATAAAAGTCATAGAGATTGAAATCACGATCACGTCTGAACAAAAATAATATTTCCAATGGCTATGATTTATGTGCTCTGGGTGTCATGATGGTTGTGTGGGGTTAATTAGCAACAGGGATGAGCCTTCAACTACACTCATCTAGGATGTGTAATTAAGTCTCTCGTTTAAGTGCAAACGACTATTCAATCTCCGATTCAGTGATTCTGCATGACCAAAATTAAATCATATTTAATGAATACTTCAAACCTAGATGCTTTTAGACCTAAGAGGCATTTGAAGTTACAAAAAGCATGTACATACCCAGGCATATTTGTAGGGAATTTATTCGTCCCGTATTTTTTATGGGGTTTGCAATGTTACATGGAGGCATCACAACAGCAGGCCTCATCTTAAAAAGGACATTCTGAATAATTCATGACTGCGCTCTTGACCCTGTACTTTTTCAGTGACCCATTACAAAATTGTGGAGTCATTTATTGCTGCCAAAAATCTCCACACATACATATCCAAACACGATCGGGCAATTACTCCCTCGTCAAGGGCTTCGGGCTTTTTAAAATGCTCTCTGTGCACCCCGAAAACACACTGTGCTGGAAGAAGGGCAGAATGTATTACAAGAGGCCATTAAATATGTCCGGCTGTCCCTTTATCCTGCACACCAAGGACAGATCCAAAATATTTGAGTTGGAACAGGATGATATTCCTGTCCTGAGCCTTGAGCATGTCCTCCAGGTAGACTGGACTTTGACATGCTCTGTGCAGTAAGCAACAGAATACCATCTGGATCAACACCCACACAGACCCTTGGCCCTTCATTTCTGCCAATCAAAAGGGTCCCCTTCAGAACTGTTCCATCAGGTGGAGGAGACATGCTACAACTGTGGCGAACGGATTTCAGTTTTTTTCTGAGTGATACCAAATGTACTGTAGCATGTCATTTATTAGTTATTTTCTGTTTAGATTGAAATGGCGCATTTCCATTACCAGTACCAGCTCAACTCGACTCGGCTCGGCTCGCTTTTCACTCCGTTTTCCATTGCAGACAGTATAGTACCCGCCACAAATAGTACCCGGTCGTCATAGTGACGCCTTTCGTTCCTCGTTGCCCCATCAAGCTCTCGCTGGATCCTCTCGTCGGCAACCAAACAAAGGAAAGTCTGCACCTCCTCATCGGACCACGGCGTATTCTTCCGAATTGGCATAATAATAGTTGTAAGTTTAGTAACTATCTCTGGCCAAACTATTTAAAAATGGCAGGGATATTCTGGATACTCCATCTGGCGCGTGAAATGACGCAGTGAATGGCGACGATCTCTGACCAATCAGCAGTCGGCATTGTTTTCACGTCACATTTTAGTATCAGCTCAGCTTGCCTTAGCTCGCTCAGAACCTCACCGGAGGTGGTACAAAAAAAGTACCCGAAAGCAGGTACAGGTACAAATTTAACACAGTGGAAAACCAAACAAAGGTGAGCCAAGCTGAGTCATGTCGAGCTGGTACTGTGTAGTGGAAAAGAGCCAAAAGTGACTTCTGTATGAGCTGTACTTCATACATCATACACTAGTATTGTCACTAATGGCTCTTTTCCACTACACAGTACCAGCTCGACTTGGCTCGGCTCGCCTTTGTTTGGTTTTCATGACCAGGTACTATTTGTGTCGGTACCGTCTGCAATGGAAAACGGAGGGAAAAGCGAGCTGAGTCGAGTCGAGCTGGTACTGGTATTGGAAAAGTGCACTACAATAAAATGTGACTTCACTTTTCAGGTACAGCCATTAATATAATGCTGTTAACTATAAGCTCTACCTTAGTTCACCAAAAAATGTAATTTCTGTCATCTTGGGGCGGCAATGGCTCAATGGTTCATGTAGGTTGTTTACAAACCGGAAGGTTGGTGGTTCAATCCCCGGTTCCACCTGACCAAGTGTCGAGGTGTCCGTGAGCAAGTCACCTAACCCTATGAGCTGGATGGTGGCTTGCATGGCTGACACCGCTGTCTGTGTATGAATGAGTGAATGTGAGGAAAATATAAAGCGCTTTGGTGGCCATTGGGTCTGTGAAAGCGCTATATAAATGCAGTCCATTTACCATTTAATAGCGTCATTAAGGGTAGGTTTAATGGTTGCGAGGGGTTAGGCATTCTTTAAAGGGTTCACTCAAAAAATATTGTGCACAAAAAGTGTTCTCATCTAGTAAAAGTGTTCTCTGACTATTTTAACAATGTCTTTACTACCTTTCTGGGCCTTGAAAGTGGTAATAACATTGCAGTCTATGGGGGTTCAGAAAGCTCTCAGATTTCATCAAAAGTATCTTCATTTGTGGTCCGAAGATAATCGAAGGTCTTACGGGCTTGGAAAGACACAAGGGTTAGTAATTAATGACAGAATTTTCCTTTTTGGGTGAACTATTCCTTTAACGAATGCCAAACCTTAACCAGAGACTAAATCTACCCTTAATGATGCTATTAGCTCCACCCAAACACTGGTCTAAGACTGCTGGCCTGGTACTGTAGCATTAGGGCTGACATGGCTTTCGTAATGCCTCTCTTTCAATTAAACAAAGCACAAGAGCAGTGGGCGATTGCTCCCACTTAAAAGAGCTTTGCTTGGCATACATCACTGTTTGCGGTCCATAAATGTCATGCAGATTGAAATCACAGTCACGTCTGAACAAAAATAATATTTCCAATGGCTATGATTTATGCGATCTGGGTGTCATGATGGTTGTGTGGAGTTAATTAGCAACAGGGATGAGCCTTCGACTACACTCATCTAGGATGTGTAATTAAGTCTCTCGTTTAAGTGCAAACGACTATTCAATCTCCTTTTAAACTTCAATCTCATATTCAGTGATGACCAAAATGAAATAATTAAAAAAAAATACTTTTAACCTAGACGCGTTAAACCTAAGAGGCATATGAAGTTACAAAATGTCCAGACATACTGTATTTATAGGGAATTTATTAGGCTATTTATTCATTTTCATGGGGTTTGCAATGTAACATGGGGGCATCACAATAGCAGGACTTGAAAAGGACATTCTGAATTATTCATAACTGCACTCTTCACCCTGTACTTTTCGGTGACCTATTACAAAATTGTGCAGTCATTTATTGCTGCCAAAAATCTCCACACATTCATATCAAAACACGATCGGGCAATTACTCCCTCGTCAAGGGCTTCGGGCTGTTTAAAATGCTCTCTGTGCACCGCAAAACCACGACACACACTGTGTTGGAAAAAGGGCAATATATATTACAAGAGCCCATTAAAAATGTCCCACTCACCAACAGGGTCCAAAATCTTCAAGTAGGAAGAGGATAATATTCATTTCCCAAGAAGACTTGATATGGTGAGCACCATAAGCAACAAATGCCATCTGGATCGACGGCCTCACAGACCCTTGGCCCTTCATTTCTGCCAATCCCCACCAGACCTGGAGGAGACATGCTACAATTCAGAGGATGGCATTTCAGTTTTTGCAAAGGCAATATGGGAGAAAGAGATTGTGTTCAAAAATGCATAAATACAGCACATCAAGAGACTAACCCAGCAGCCAATGCAAGCTGGACGTTGAAATTGTCTCATGACATAGTTGATTACACACAAACTGTTTTGTCAGCAAGTTTTAGATGAGCTCGCCTACAAAGCTGTCAACTCCCCCGAGGAGCTGAAAAACATCGCTTTCTCTTGAGAGGACAAAACCTTCATAACGTTTTTTTTTGGCAATAAAAGCAATCATGGGCACAGATATCTATTCATAATTTGAATAATAAACAGAGCACTACACTTATGACAAAGATATTCAGCTATGTTAGTCATTGTTTCGACATATTGAATGCGAGTATTTTGAAATTTTGAAAGAACACATTTTATAGTTTCAAAGGGAGCGTGTATAGTGTGGAAGCACAAGTTTATTAAGTAATTACAAAAAATGAGGTATATAGCACCATAAAGAACAAGAAAAACAACTACATTCAAGAGTTTGCTACGTAAGCAGAGACACAGAAGTTTGTTTATCCAAACTTGCTGGATGTGACAAAACCTGGATTGTGAAAATAATTTTTGTTGTTGTTGACCTTTTAGGGTATTCAGGAGAAATGACACCCCCTTGTGGTCTAGAAAAATACAGAAGCTAATCATGACTACTTTTTTGTTTGGCCAATAATATGCAGGCCGACATTTTCAAGTGAGCTCTCTGCGACAAATGTTGCCAGAGAACAACACAATTATATGCAACTCTACCCACAGTGCTTTCAACATATTTTCAACAACTGTCATATTCACTTCCACACCTGTCCAATAAAATCAATGAAAATAAACAATGAAACAATGAAAATGAAAAGAAAAATCAAAGACACCTACTGACTGACCGTCAGCGCTGTTTATTCTCATCGTTGGCTTGTTCTTAAGTCAGCTAATCTGCTATACACAGCTTCTGTTTTCAGATCCAATGGAAAGCACTATGGCAGCTCCTGTCTTAATTAGAGTTGGACTTGACGGCACACTGTTTTCCAGCCCTTTCTCTCCCACACAAACTCTTTTCAATTACACGAAATAAAGTCAGCTGTCTCGTCTGAAGGCACTGAGCCAAATCCGGCAGAGGAACAACCTTGACCAGCAGAGACCCAAATGTTCCTGACTCACGCATGAACCATCAGAGACAGTTCTCATATTCATTAAGCCTGTGTAGGTGAAGTTTGGGTTATAAAGCAGGGGAAATTTGGCTGAAAGCCTGACAAGCTTTTACTGGTCAATAATTTAACATGTTGGCTGCCTGGAAAGCATAACATTTTGATATTCTTCATAAGATCTTAAAGGGCTTATGAACTGAGAAATCAAAATTTCCTCGAGTTTTTGACATATTAGAGGTCATCATACAATAAGAATATCAATTTCAGAGCTGAAAACTTATTCCGACTTGTGGAATCTAAATAGCTGAAATACCGCCTCTGTAGAAGATCAACGCCTACTTCATCAATGCAACTTTGGCTCCGCCCACAGGCGTGGTGAGAAGAGCGATACAGGATCACTGGACTAAAAATAAAATTACTTTCCAAAGGATCCTAATGCTAGGTATGTAGTTATTTGTTTTCAACAATGTAAATGTCATAGTTGAGCATTATTTGTTTGTTCTGTGGATTTTTTTCGGTAAATCAGACGCAATTTCGGTGCATGCTTTGAAAAACAGACTTTTACGATATCGTCAGTAATGCAACAACATGTAAGTAACCGTGTTAATTCTAATGCCTGATCTGAGATCAGTGATTTCTGATATGTACAGTCATGTACTGTCAGCTGTTCTTTGTCTATGTGTCAGTAAATGAAACCAGTGACTAAAGTCAATTTCACATTGTTTCTCTTAGTAGGATGAAAATAATCTGTTATTTAAACTGTGAATCAATTAGAAAGCAATCAAACAGCGCGAGTTTATCAGTGAGTGACTTCTGGATTCACGCCAAAACTCATGTTATAATCAACGAATCTCTTATTTACATTGTGCTTGCACTGTTAGTTACAATGAAAGCATTCGTTAGTGTGCAGAAATGGAGTTGAAGTGATGAGATCACTGCATTCATTCACTCAATATGTCTATTATCAGCTTCATGCTCATCACTGAAACCTTTCATGCTAAAATCGAAATATAATGCAATAGATCTAAATGTTATGCTGATAAACTAGCTAACCTTGAGAGCTTAATAGTAAAAACGTGTTAAAAGTTTTCGAGAGAGTTCCACATGTTTGCCAATCACTGAAGTGGGCCTTTACACTGAAGTCTCACAGCAGACACGCGGTTTCCCCTTCAAACAGATCGTTCAAATCAGAGGGCTAAAATCAGGGGATAGGAAAAATGCCTTTTATTTCTAAATTATGGGGGGGGGGAAATCTGTAAAAATCATACTAACATTATAAACTCCCCATGAAACATTATAAAACAATGCAATCCATGACCACTTTAAAATAAAGGTTCATTATTGGCATTTATGGTTCAATGATGGTTCCAATTTTAAAAACTTAACATCCATAGAACCCTTCAGTTGAACAAAAGGTTAGTGGAAAATGGTTTTAATTGCAATGTTCTTCACACTAAGACAACAGTAGTTCCTTTAAGATCTGTTAACATGAAAAATGGAGACCAAAGGGGCATCATTGCGAAAAACCCATTTTGGAACCTTTATTTTTAAAAGTGTAGAATGTGAAAAGAAATAATGAACAAATAAAACATTTAATTTGGGACCTTCATGCTAGTCCATTAAATCAAGCCCGAGTCTAAGAGGTCTTTCAGAGTTTGTCGTAAGTCTATTCTGGTTTCGCTTCTTCTGTCTCTTGCACAGTACAGTCACATATTGAAATCACGTTTCATGCTTTGGGTTTCCTCATTTTTCCGGACACGGTTGTCATAGAGGATCCGTAAATTCAGAGCACTAGAAAATAACTGCCGAATCGTTGATGCAGTGCAGTGTTCGGTGGACAGAGCGGGGATGATCATTTGCATTTGAAAGCTTATTACCAGCTCTCAGCAGGGTGGATAAAGGGGACACACACCCATCTTCACCCCAGTACTGCCACCACTGATATGCAGCCCAACGTTTTCAAATGGTTGAGTACACACACTGATTGAAATTGGGGTTGCATTGAGCACACAAAGATAAAAACTGATTTAGCAAAAAGCCAACCAAATCTCACATTTGGCAGCTTTTGAGATTGCAAGACACTGAACTGGGGGAAAAGCCCCATTTTCAAATACCAATGTCTGGCTTCAGGTGAAAGCATAAAATGGGAAAAAAGAGAGCAGATGAAAGGAAGTGCAGATTTGTGGTCCAAATGAACATCCATTGCACTTTGTTAATTGCATCCTGCAGCTAAAATCAAAATGAAAGTATCAAACAATGACAATTATGATTGCCTATGAAGTTTAAAGGAATAGTTCACCTAGATTAAGTACATATTCTAAGTCTTTTGATGTCAGGCACTGGACAAAATTCGGAAATTTCAACATATAGAAAAAATTGCATCATTTCACGTGATATATAAAACATTGGCTGACGGGGTGGGGTGGAACACTTATTTAAAAAGTTTTACAACCATCTCCTTCCATACTAAGAATATAACTAAGAACTTTCTTGATTTTAATGTTTTTAAAGAATGAATAGGGCATGGAAAAGAAAGACTGAAAGGGGTGTCTCTGACAACAGTGTTTTAAATAAAACTGGTATTATAAATTGGTATATTGAATTGCGCCCTATGCAGTTTCTGGGCCCATCAAGCCTGCACTCCAGGGCTACCAGCATCATTCATCTGTCAGCTCTATGACTCTGATTGAAATACACACATAGACACACACTCACATGGACATTGACATGTTAATTTTTGTTAGACTTAAATATGTAAATAAATATGTTCTTTAATCTGGTACATTTGTGGTGAGGCCATACCGTTAAGTATGTTTGTTTAGAAGATTATTTTATCACACACAGACATTTTTTGGTTAGACCTAAAGATGTACAAAGATATTTAATTATATTGTAGTAGCCTAGTGTTATTATTAAGTGTAGGCTACTGTTGGCTATGTGTGTCTTCTAGTAGACACGTTTTTTTTTATGCGATGCTTATATAACAGGAAGGGAAAGTTGCCTACCTATTAATATTCTTGGTACTTCTTTTGCAGCCATTTAAGGATGGAGATCTGATTACACAAGGTCTTGTAGCAGATCTTGTATTACTATCTCATGTCTGCAGAGATAAAAACAGATGCACTTTGATAACATGCATATGGTAGGCCACATTATGCAATGAACAACACACTAAAAGAAATCAATATCACAGGGAAAATCATGAAACATAGGCATAAAAAGGATCTATAATTCATAACGAAAAGATTAATAAGATTAATAACAAGGAGAAAATAATAAAATAAGTTAATAAAATAGCTACATTAATCAAAATAGCTACGAATAAATTCGCTTACTAATTATAGGGCCTATATATAGGCTATACAGCGACTGAGAAAGACCGAGAAAAAAAGAATGACATTTCTAGATGCCACCAGTTCACCTCATCCAAACTAACTCCATGTTCAAAGGCTTTAGCGTCGAGCACAGACATGTTCTGAGGGAGGACGCGAATAGTGAACCGAATCTGCCTCCCCCCATGCTGTTTTTTTTCCTCCTCAGCCTTTGTCAACTGTGGTTATGTGGGAAGGGGGTGAATATTCGCATGGGGCTGTCTACGTTTTACTTAATCTGGGACCGACTGGCACACCTCTCTTCAGTCTTCTCCTCACGACGAACGAGCGAAATATCCGTCCGGTGTTTCGCGTTTAGTCACAGAGAGATGTCTGAGGATGCGCATCAATACCTTATTCATCCGTTGTCTCTCCACGGAGCCCGTCTTTGAATGTTTTATCCAGTGCATGAATGGAGCTGCTTGAGGATATACGACCTTTTCATCGTTTTTTAGGGAATATGGAACCCCTCGACATCTGAATACGTGAATTAAAGCGATAAAAACGTCTATGACGTGCGTTACGGGACGACTACGCAAAGCCATCGCGGCATATGGTGATTTTTTTCTTTTGTTTAAATTTTCGTCATGTTCTCATACAGCTTTATATGAGGCAAGTATATCGAAGTATTAATTTTAAGATATTTTCGAGTCTAGTTGGAAATCTAAAATGTTCGCGCTGGAAAGGGGGATAAGTTGGTCACCGTTTTATATAGTCGACAGACAGATCGGATCTGCTATTTTTTGTTATTTCCAACTGAATAGCAAGTTGTGTTGCACTGCGGTAAATCAGAACTCGGCGCGCGCGGTCGTCGACGGCTGCCTTTCAAACCTATCATAATAAGCATGCATATGGCATTGTGTGGTATTGCAATTGCTCTCTACAGGTGCCTGAACTGGTGCCAGTTTCTGATTTTGTAACCTGCCTGCATTCTCGATGCTGGTTTGCTGATTTCCCCAAGGGAAAAACAAAATACCTCCCGACTTGTGTAAAAGCCTGTAGGAAGCAGTTTAGTTGTGGGAGTTTGGCTGCATTAAAACATGAAGTACTTGATCAAAGTGTCATATTGCAATACACGACTGCTTAAGGCTTGCATTGTGAAGCATAGTGTAGAATGTAATATAATATATTTTGAAGGCACATTTGTCTTAGACTGCTTGAAATTGAGGCTTTGCAAGGAGCCTCACAAGTTTAGATTTCGCATCTATATTTAAAGTTGTTGAATATAGACTCATGCATCATCATTTCTGAAGTTAAATGTTCATTGATTACATTTCTTTGTTATTTCAGACCTGGTTAGATGTTTAAATTAAACGTTATACATCTTTATGCCTTACATTCTGTTTTTGAACTCACCGAGATATCTTTCCCCCCCCCAGCTGCATCTTTGTCGATAGGATCAAATCGGACTGCATCTTCTAAATGAAGTTACCTAGCCATGCAATGTTCCTGGAAGGCTGTGATTCTGCTTGCATTGGTGTCCATAGCGATCCAATACACAGCAATCAGGACTTTCACAGCTAAGCCTTTTCATTTGTGCCCTGTTCCTAACCCTCTGAACTGTGGTTTGGGACAGGATGTGGAGTCCTTCGATCGGATGTGTGATGAGTACCCGTATTTTAATTACAATTCCTCCAGGAAGACTCACATCCTCATCTTGGCAACCACCCGTAGCGGCTCTTCTTTCGTAGGACAGTTGTTCAACCAGCACTCAGATGTTTTCTATCTTTTTGAGCCACTCTATCATGTCCAAACGACCTTAATCCCTCACCTTTCTCCCAGCAGATATGCTGTTGAGCGCAGAGTGATGCTGGGAGCCAGTCGTGACCTTCTTAGAAGCTTGTACAACTGCGACTTGTATTTCTTAGAGAGTTACATCAAACCGCAGCCGGCAAACCATACCACGGATAAACTGTTTCGCCGAGGAGCCAGCAAAGCCCTCTGCTCTATGCCGGTCTGCGACGCCTTCAGCCCTAATGATGGCAATATAGAAGAGGGAGATTGTGTTCGAAAGTGTGCCTCCCTTAACTTGACCCTAGCAACCGAATCATGTCGGGAAAGACGCCACGTGGCCATTAAAACAGTGCGTATTCCAGAGGTCAATGATCTCAAGGCACTCATTGAGGACCCTCGGCTTAATCTGAAAGTTATCCAATTGGTGAGGGACCCACGTGGAATACTATCTTCAAGGATTGAAACCTTTCGGGACACATACCGCCTATGGCGGATCTGGAGAGCCACTGGCCGTAAACCCTACAACCTGGATTTGACTCAGCTAACAACAGTGTGTGACGACTTTCTAAACTCAGTGTCCACCGGCTTAAGCCGGCCGCCGTGGCTTCGAGGACGGTACATGCTAGTGAGATACGAGGACCTAGCCAGGAATCCGCTCCAAAAAACCAAGGAGGTTTATGAATTCCTTGGTCTTTCTTTGGAAAAAAGCGTGGTGGACTGGATACATAACAACACAAGAGGCAATAACGACGTGTCAGCAAAGCATAAGTACGGCACGTTGAGGGACTCGGCGGCCAACGCAGAGAGCTGGAGGTTGAAATTGTCTCATGACATAGTTGATTACACACAAACTGTTTGTCAGCACATTTTAGATGAGCTCGGCTACAAAGCTGTCAACTCCCCCGAGGAGCTGAAAAACATGTCGCTCTCTCTCATCGAGGACAAAACCTTCATACCTTTTTTGTAACAAAGGTAAACGTGCACGCACAACTATTTTTCTACATTTATATTCTTGCCTTAATGTGATTGACATTTGCACTATGAACTTTTTTTTTTTTTTACTTCGGAGACTCCCGCCTTGCAGTCCCCCTATGATTTTCTGAACAGCACAAGAACCAAAACACTTTAGCTGTAAAGAGATCTGAACTTCACCTTGATCGCATTGAGATAGTAATGTTCATTATTTATATATTAGAGCAGAGCACCACACTACTGATAAAGAAATTCTGTATGCTGGTCATTGCTTTGACAACAGTGAATGTGAATATTTTGTATGTCATAGAATCCAGACTATTCACAAGAAGAACGTTCTTTAACGTGGGACTGAAATGCTGTCATGTATGATAACAGCCGTGCAATAAAATTGTGAATGTCACTGTCAGGCTATTTCTCAGGTGTGTCTCAGTGGAAAGTCTTGTCTGCCACACTGTTTTGGGGGTTTATTTTGGTTTGCTTTATGCATTGGTGCTGCATCCAGGTAAAAAGAATCTAAAGCACTTCAGTCCGCTTGCTTTAGGTGATCATCATGATTCACAAACACATTGTAAAAATCAATTATTGCTGTTAGATCACAATGATTGTACAAAGGTTTTTGTTACATTTCGCTAAATGCCATGATACTACTTCAGAAAATCCCAATGCAATCCATGTTTTTAGAGTGGACAGTTTGGTAGTTTAATGTAATTTAGAGATTTTCATTTGAAATGCATGAAATGATTCATTCTTTAGTTGATTCAGTGCATATAGATTTGTATTTAGTGTCCATGAAAAAAAAAATGTTTGGCTCATTGTATGTGAAAGACTTTTTCTATTTTTGAAAACATAATAAATGTAGAGAAGCATAAATAAGACGGTAATCACTTAAAGGACAGTTGTGTACATGACTCTTACTTGGTTATCACTAGGGATGCACCGATACCACTTTTTTGGAAAACGAGTACGAGTACGAGTACTTGCATTTTAGTACTCGCCGATACCGATACCAAGTACTTAATAAAAAAACAAAAAAAACATGATTTAAATATTTTTATATACGGGTTTTTAGGTCCTTGATTAAATTACTTGGGTAACACTTTATTTCGATAGTCCACTTTACTAACTATAAGTAACTTTTCAATTACATGTCAACTAACTGTCATTAGAGTAGGCTATTAGTAGACTAGAGTATTAGTACAATCAGCTAAATATCTGATAACACTTTATTTATTTGGTCCCCCAACAGACATTCAACTGACTATAAGTAACTTGGCGACTACAAGTAAACTTATTCTCCTAATCCAAAGCCATTCACGAAATTGTTCCACACCAGTGGTGCACGGGTTGATCCAAAATGAGCGGGTGCCTGCGCCGCGGTCACCCGCAGTTACGGGTCATCCAAAAATATTTTTAATGATATTCGGGTCGCGGTCGGTCAGGTCGTTTGGAAAAAAATGCCAATTAAACCTTTGTATTTATATAGTACTAGATAGAATTTTCTATGAAATATATAGGCCGAATTTATTTATTGGCTGAATAACTGGCACGAAGATGACACACAAGCTCAGTCTAAACAGTTCTCAGTTCTGTACTGTTGTGATCCGAGAACCGCTGTACCTCTGCGTTCGTTACTATACGCGGATGCGCAGTATCAGCAGTATCAACAACATGTCTCAGTTCAGTGAACTGTTAGAGTTACTGGAGTAAAATATAATTCGGGATATTGGTTTATTTCAACTCGGAGGGACTGTCAGGCATGTCTGAAAGTGAGTAACTGTAGTAACTTGTGGAATCAGCACTGACGCAAGACGTGAACTGATGCGAATGATTCAGTTCGATTTAGCGTACTGGTTTAACCGGTTCATTAAAAAGAACCGATTCGTTCACGAACCGGCCATGTCTATGATCACTAGTCTGCAGAGAGATGGAGGCGGCAAGAGAAAAGGTGAAGACTGGGGAGTGGAAGCTCCGCAAATACACAAATAAAAAGAGTAAGTGTGGGAGACATTTACCGAA